GCTCTGGGCGCGGCCCCGGCCATCGATCCGTGCCACTTCCCCTAATGGCCCGTCTCTTCCTCCTCCTCCCCCTCCCCTAGGGCGGATCGTCCCCCGGCCTCCCTGTATGTGAGAGACGGGGCCGGCGTCTCGGACGGAGCCGGGCCGCGGGAGGAGCGGAGGCTTCGGGGAGCGCTTCCTTCCCAGCGCCCGCACCGCCCTGCGCGGCAGCCCCAGCATGGAAGCCATCGCCAAGTACGACTTCAAAGCCACCGCGGACGACGAGCTGAGCTTCAAACGGGGGGATATCCTTAAGGTAAGTGGAGGGCGAGGGCCCGGGAGTTCCCCCCTCGGCCCTAGGCTTTTCGGCTTCTCTCCTGAGTCTCTTCCTGTCCGTCAGACCTGACCCTCCTCTGCGTCCCCAGCGAACGCCATCTCCTTTTAACGGGGTACCTCAAGATTTCCTCAATTCCACTCTGACCCCTTTAAGAGGGGGAGAGGCTGTTTCGCTCCTGCCTTAAGCATGCATCCCGAGTCTCTCATTTCTCTCTTCTGAGATGGGAATATTTGAAAACTTAGTCGTAAACACGGTAGCAAATAAGCAGAAGTACAAGATAATCTCTGTGCTGAATTCCCTTCCACGAGAGGAAACCCCTTAAAGTAATCAAGATCGATTTGGTGTTTTTTTTCCTTTGGCTCCTGCCAAGGATTTCACCATCAAAGAACAGTGATTAGATTATTTCTCAGCAGATAATCTTTTAGCATCAGGCCGTTAAATATTGGTGCTGTTTTATCTTTAGTCCTGATGAACTCGAGTGATAATTTTGTGGCTGAATATTTAATGGATCTGTGCAGATGTAAGTGGATGTTGGAGTGCATTAGAGAAATTTTTGGTCTATGGTTCTTTTAATATATCAAGGCTTTCTAGGCTTCCTCTTGGCTGTATTAAAGGGATTTGAAAAATATTTTAATTTTGATGCACAGAACAAGCCCAGAATTTTACTTTGAGGCAAGTAAAATACAAAAATCAGTAGTGATTTGGCCTCAGTGAAGCATAGCCCTAAGCTTTGTTGCTTCCGAGTAATAAGAGCCACATAGCGGAATGTTTTAATGGAGTTTCATTCTGAGTCAGTATTGCTCCATAACTGTGTAAGATGGGCTTTACCTTCCTGGTGTGATGTATTTAGAATTAAAGTACTTTAAGCTGCTTCTTTCTAAAATGCTTTGAGTAGAAACTGGTTTGAGAGGTGACTATACTGCAGATGTAAGGCTGCAACTTTGTGTATGCTGACAAATCAAGTCCTGCAGACCTCAGTGGGATTACTCAGCTGCTCAAATTTTTTGCCAGGGAAGGGCTTAATTTAACCACTATTTCAAGATAAATTGGAAAAAACAACCTC